CTCCCTCCCTCCCTCCCCCGCTCCCTGTTATCTCTCTCCCTTTCTCCCTCCCTGTCTCATACATAATATGAAAATATATTATACGGCTAGTCACGTTATTATAGCGTGCCTTGCGTCGATCCAACAGGAATCTATTACACTCAATATCTTCATGAAGTATCTCCATTCTCCACACAATTTTGTTCTACAGTTCTCGGCCGTTGGAAGACGGTACCATCATCATCCGAGTGCTCCAAGTAACCCACATTACAATGACCACTGGTCAAGGAGGAAGATGGGCGTGGCTGCACCTGGGTTGTTACAGAAATCACCGGCAGTCCAATGTCAATGTGGTGAAACTCCACCACGAAGGAGAGGAAGTAGAGGGAAATTAAGCCGGCTGTCGCCCACTCGAACGATGTCGATCCTATATGGATGTCGTAGGCCTGAGGATGAAAGGTTTTAAAAAAATAAGTCCGATTTCGTATGATATATTAATAATAATAAATAATGATATATAGCATTTGTATAGCGTATGGCCCCACTCAAAAGGCATGCTCTATGCGCTATATTACACAATAATATAATTACCCCAGCAGACCACAGAACACTCAGAAACATTCTCAGATTCCCGGGAAGCATACAGTGAAAGCAGCTGGTTAAGCGCTCAAACACTAGCAAACTGACAAGATCTTTCACTGTCCATAGCTGGGTACCCATTCCCACCAGGGTGAAGTAAGGAAAATTCGCGTAAAGTGCCTTTCCCAAGGACACAACGTCGGGCCCGCGGCTCGAACCCACGAACCTGCAACCTCAAGATTGCGAGTCCAGTAGCCTAACCACTAGGCCACCGACGCCCCATGGGGTGAGATAAGATGAGAGGGGAGGAGGGGGTAGGAGAGTGGAGGAGATGAGTCTTGAGAGGAGAATAGAGGGGACGAGATAGGAGGAATAGAGATGAGATGAGAGGAGTTAAGATAGAGATGATTAAATGAAAGGAGAGGAGATGATATACCATAAGATTGGTCTCCACAAAGAGAACTTTGCTGTGAAATGGTAAATATAATAATATAATAATACGTTCACATGCACATGTA